GACTCTGTCAACGAAGCAACCAAGAACCTTTTCCCAGACAAATACGCCGAAGGAAGTGGATATGGACTGGAAGTACACTGCGGAGAGCTCTGAGTGACACTAAGAGGCAGGTCGAGGAATAGAACTCGAATAGAAAACAATGAGTTGATCGTATATCTAAAGGTAACATAGATATATTCGTGTCAGGAGCTGAAAGCTTATACGCAATCTTGGAACCGCTGTAAAGTGACTTCAAAAATGAGGATATGCCGTTGAAGCCTTAAGTTCCTTCCGAACCGAAAGGGGATAATAATAACACTAGAATAATGACTGACTGTGTGAAATGTACAAATTTCCCTCTTAACCACTGTAATCCACTCATTCAAATTTTAATTAGTGATGAAACAGATAAGGATTGAAGCAATCAAATGGAATATAAAGGACCTGCCTTATTCTTTAGACTTCAAATAAGAAGTAAATGTGACATAAATGAGTTGGTGAACTTGTTATATAAGTTAACTGTACATCACACCAACAGCGAATATTCTAGTTAAGACGTTTTTTCTATGCAAGATTTAACTGATGTTTCCACCTTGTCAAGGAAGTTTAAATCCAAACCATTTATCCAGAAACCCTTATCCTCGCTGCCTTGACTGCAATTCATCCATGAAATCAAAGATCTTGTAGAAATGTTTCAGTGTTAGGTGGGTGTGAACAGTGAACCAGTCTCTCGCATACACTCAGGTAAGGTTTTCTGTAGAGTTACTTTATGAAAATTTGTTTTCACTTCATATAACCAAGTACATATTTCTTCACTTCTGTAGTTTATTTTCATCATATGTTAGTTTGTATAAAAAATAACAGTAACGAAATGGAAAGAAAATATTTCCAAATAATATATACTACTAAGTGACTGGTACAAGTAGCTGGAAACCCTTCATGGCAGAAAGTAATGCTTGCTAACCAGATCAACGAGATGATTTTAACACCAGAGAGATTTTCCAATCGTTTGAAGCCCAAACCATAGTCAATGTCACCGTTCTGACCCAGCTTGGATAGCTAAATCGGTCCAAACTACTCAAACAAAACTGTGATGAGTTCTCATCTAGAACTGCAACAACAACAACAAACAACAAGCAGCCAGCATAGATGGGAGGAATCTGAAAGAAGCAACCTCCCTTACCTACCCACCTGGAAAGTATCGTTTTAACTATAGGCAGACGGAACTAATGAGGATATCAAAGCGAGTATCATCAGAAAAGCAAGGCAAACTTTCATTACTTTCAAGTCTGTGTGCAGGTCAACAGCAATTAGCATGAAAAATAAGATCCAGATTTTTAACTCCAATGTGTGAAGTAGGTGCTACTTTATGAATCAGCGACTTAGCGCATCACGAGGAGCACCTCAAACAAACTACAAACCTTCATCAACTTTCACTAAAACTAAGTCAGAGGTGAAAAATATCTCAGCCGACTTTGTGAGATAAACAAGACGATGTTTTTGATGATATGAAAATCTTAAACATTTTCTTCAGTCTTCAAAGCAAAAATCAACTATCAGAGACACTAAGGTTGTGGAAATGCATGTAAAAAGTTAAATTAATTATCCCCATTGATTCTAAAACATTAGTTTGTAGGGATTCTATTTTTTTTTCACGTTAGACAACGGGTTGATATCATTTAGAGAATCACTGAAAACTAGCACTGGAGTAATGAACAGATGTTCATTATAATAGAGGTTTTTTGTATTTCCCAATGAATGAAAAAACAAAACGAGATTGTTTTTACTGACGTTTCGCTATTTTATGCTAATAGCTTTCTCAAAGTATTATTAAACCGGAATTTACAAAATCTCAGCATATATATATAACAAAGAGTTAGGGGGTGAGAAAAATATAGACTTAGTTCAACTTAAAAGGACATATTGAAAGTCAAAATAGCAATGAAGATCGTTCAAACCAAATATCAAAGGTAATAGTATATCTGTTATTATATCAAAATAAAGTTTACTAACTTGATCATCGTTCGTTAGTCTGGGGTCATTTTTGGTTGTCAAGTTCGAGAATAGGTAAAAGTAACCAAACTAAGATATACTATTACCTTCAATATTTGGTTTGAACGATCTTCATTGCTATTTTGACTTTCAATATGTCCTTTTAAGTTGAACTAAGTCTATATTTTTCTCACCCCCTAACTCTTTGTTATATATATGCTGAGATTTTGTAAATTCCGGTTTAATAATACTTTGAGAAAGCTATTAGCATAAAATAGCGAAACGTCAGTAAAAACAATCTCGTTTTGTTTTTTCATTCATTGGGAAATACAAAAAACCTCTATTATAATGAATATCATATACCCAATGCCGAAATTTTTTCAAACCGTTAAAAGTGAACTTGGTTTGGATATATATACTGAACAGATGTTTCATCCTAATTTTGAGAATCATCGGCAGCACGCACCCACTAGGGGAGGTGGAACTCAAGGATTTCTGGTTACAAGACAAGCTCGGATACCATCCAGCCACTGGAACCCATCGAGGCATAAAAACAAAGAATTCAGAGAAGAAAATTCTCTTTTAGGTGATTTCATCTTTATAGCTGTACAATCGTATATATGTATATGCATATGTATATATATATATATATATATATATATATATATATATATAGGGACTACAATACACAATATCATTTAGTTTTCCTGTGTGTATGTGTGTTTGTGCGTTTAAGTTTCACAGTAAGTGGAAATACTAAAGTGCGATAGTATTGGTGCATAGGATCCTGAGTCCCGATTGACTAGCTATATGAATGAATAATTAAAAATAAAAAGTGGTCATTCAAATGAACTGTCGTCAAGATTTGACAGAATATTTGGGCGCCGAGTGAGAAGTAGACATTTGTAAAAAAAATTATATTTGTAAAATCTCAGCGAGATTGAAATGATTAATTCCAACGTTTCGTTCGGCAATTTGGTCTGAACTTCTTCAGGGAAATTAATCGAAATTAACATAACAGAGGTTTATATATAAGAGGGACATGTTTTGTTTTAAAAAACTTTGTCCAATCATGAGTAAAGTATAATAAACAAAAATTGTAGGAGTTGTGATCAAAATTTGACCTCGGACTCACAAATATTGATCCACCTTTGTTAAACACTTTAAACATAATGTGTGTTTGTATGTGTGGGGGTCAACAGTTGTAAAACAATTTCTTAACATCTCCATAAGTAGAAATAGACAGTCGGGAACTTTGACCAAGTATTATTAATAAGTGATACATATCCATTCTTATTTATTAATTATGATTTCCTATGCGTCATCTAACATCATACCTTCATGTCTGTTCAAACTGTTAGTATCTAGAATTTTATGATTAGACGTACTTTTAAAAATTATGGTGTTTAAGATTAGAGTTTAGATGAAGCACCCTGTCAAACTTATTGCTTTGTCTTCTTTCTGAAGATTAACCTGTTTTATTCGACTTACTAGAGTTGTCAAGTGACTGGACAGCTACGGATTTAGGATACGCATTCTGTTGCACACAACGGACCAGATTGCCGAACGAAACGTTGGAATTACTCATTTCAATCTCTCTGAGATTTTACAAATATAATTTTTACAAACAGTGGTCAACTTAAAGTTCAATGGACATTTGTAAAATAGATGATTGGACATTGTGATTCGGAAATGTGAATATGTGAATATAAATATGATGGAAACATACGATGAGTGAAACATTATCAAAATAAGAGACTAGATAAAAACGTTAAAATGTGACAACATAAGCTGGAATAAAATAAAACAAAAATGGAAAATGGAATAAAGAAGGATAACAAAGCTTTTTGAGGGAATTACATAGTAAAATCAAGACTATGGTAATGAAAGAGATCATACGAATTGTCTTTTTTACAAAACGTTCCGACTTTATGTTACCCATTGCCAAATCAAACGCCTTCATGTCCCTTACGGGAAACTTTGTCGGACTTTGTAGACTATATTAAACGATGTGTCAGATGCTGCGTGGTCAGTATCTACAATGTGTTGCAATATCGATGAATTACAACCTCTACGTTCTCCTTTGCTCAGCCAAACTCAGGGGAGGTGCTCCAGAAAGCAGCGGAGGGATATGTTTCTCGACGAATGTTGTATGTACCTAGAACAGGTGAACATATATATACACATGGAATTAGACAATTGAGGTAACATTTCCTTGACATTAAGGTGCACTGGTGGACGGTTAGAGTAGGTTATTCGTAAAGTGTCGGCAAAGAATGTGATCTCATCGGACGAATTTTAAGTATCTAACTCACAGCGTTACCCCTAAATTGTAAGTTTAAGTGCAAAAATTTTATAGCTACCTTGTGAATCTCTGTAACTTTCTGCTGACCTCTACAAAGTGTAATGGATATCCGTTCTCTATGAGAGTGTTTCTTTAAGTTGGATGAATCCATCATGAACACAATCTTCACTACAAACTCTCTGCACCTAAGGAGCCCTATATTTCACCCTGAACTCTTATGCATCATTAGTAGAATGCTTATTAACCATAAACAAGGTGTGGACTCGGTTCTTAACCAGTACACGCCTACAAAACTCAACCAACTTTATTATCCAATAGTGAGCCATGAAGAGAAAGAAGGTTAGCTGTATGAGTCCAGGAAACTGACTCCGTAGAAAACAATAACTTCAGCATTTCATCATGAACTGACATTAGTTAGAGAACCATTGGAAAGCCTGGGAGTACTAGACAGCTGTTTCGTCCTTCTAGTTTGGGACTCTTCAGAAGTACGCACCCACCGGGATTCTGAAGAGTCCCAAACTAGGACGAAACAGCTTTCCAGTACTCCTAGGTTTTCCACCGGTTCTCTGACTAGTGTCACCTCATGATGAAATCCTGTAACCAATCAAATCCCTACAAACCAACACTTGAATAACTTCAGTAGTTTGAAGCCAGATATTCCATTTGGAACGCGAGGAAATGAAAAAATTAAAAGCCAAAATAATTATTTTATTTTCACAATAACTTTTTATATATATCAACATCTCCTTTCAATATTTTCAGAAAAAATTTGGTTATTCTATATTGTCACAATTCAAGTTGACAAATAATGAATGGAAACAGATAATGAAAAGTGAACCCGATAACTCATAACTTACATCAACATACAACAAAATCACTATTTTTAAAAAGATTTTTATCCATTGAACAATGAACAATGGAAGGTATAATGTACCATATGTATAATAAATAGCTCGATAGATTTTGTCTTTTGTTTTTATTTTTTTGGGATTGTTTTTAAATTCTGATTTCTTTCCTTACTCTTGTTTTCCCCATTTGCCTTTGTAACCCTGTTCATGTTCAGTCAGCTTCATTTAAATTAGCGCTTCGTTTCTTGGCCTCATCTTCAGCCTGCATTTTTTCATATCGTTCTAATGCTGAATTTAACTGAGTCACCATAAGTTCATCAATGATTGGATAAACCTTGAAAAAAAGAGAAAAAAAATAAGAAGAAGAAGTGAGTGTTTCTTATATGATGCCTGAATAAAGTTTGAATTCGGAAGTATATTCAGTGAAATGAAATTAATGGGTTTAGCTCTCTAGATTGCGTTTTTCTCTGGGTTTATCTCTGATTAACTGAGCGCCAAATTGATGGAAAAGACCTTCTGGTATTCAGATCTTTTCAATTTACATAAAAGACAGTTAAATGTTTTTGTAGATGACTCATACACTTCTGCATCCAACACAATTATGGAATAGACAATAACTTTTGGAAAGAAAAGGAGCGATGATAATGCCATGATTGGTACTTTTTTACAGAGTTAAATGCCTAATTGTGTTGTTGACCATTTTATAATATTTGAGAAGTTACATCAGCCTTGATGGATTGATTTTTGATGAATTCAAAATACAAAATTCTACTGTAACAATTGTCAAATTACATGATCTCTGATATAGACACGATACCAAGCTATCGATCGTGTACACTCAGCAACAGTGTTAGCTGATGTAGGATTTCGGATCGGAAAAGAGTTGGATTTAAATATAACTTCAATTCATGAAATCTTTGATTGTTAGATTTGAGCCTGGCTGCGATCCTCTAGATGTTTAGAACGGTAGTTTAAAAGTATCTAGACTAGCCACTTTAAATTGTATCTACCAATTCAACTGCGCTTGTGGGGCGTACTATATTGGCCATTGCTCTAGGAACTTGATTTTTCGTGCTCGCTCGATAACATATCCCACTTTGGCTAAGTAAAGGTGTAGTTAAAACCATTAACAGTTCGATACTGAACCGTCTAGTGCAAACCGGCCTAAAAGCCAGCGTGGAAGAATCCTTCTCTATGATCTCACGGGTGCCTAATAAATTGCCAAAATCATAGAAGCACTGCATGCTCCAAACAGCGAAGGCTGTTACAATTCGCCTAAAACAACCAGTGCTCTGTCTTCAAAAGAAGCAAGTCCAGCCCATACTACTGCTCTGGCTAGCCTTCAGTAGAAACTATAAATTTATGAATTTGTAATGCTATCTTTCTGAATTTTTCTGACATTCAGCTTATTTTATGTTGATGCTATTGAGCTGTAATCTATCTATATTATTGATTCGATGTTATTTAAACAGGATTAATGTTGTTCATAATGCTTTTTCATTCATTCACTATAATGTATATATAAATGTAGAGCCTGATGATGAAGGGGTTATCGAAAAGAGTACTCTTTGTTCAGTATCCATTCTTTTGAAAATTTCAATTGGCATTTTTAATCAGTTAAAATTGCTCTGTATGGCGAAGATGTACTGAGTCTTTGTAATGTCTGAGACTCTTTGAACTCCAACTATTGTTCATGTAATTCTCATTTTATCAATACACCCTTATTTCTTACAATCTCTTCGTATTGCTTTATTTTTCTAAGTTTATTTGTGCTTTATGAACTGTAGTTATCTGAACTGCTTTTAAAAGAAGTCCTACGCTAAAAATTCGATGGTTAAATGATTATTTAGTCATTATTTAGAGTCTCATATAAAGAAATCTAAAAAAAATCCACTACATTGTAACTAAAATTTTGTACATTCGCATATTGGATTAACACATAAAATCCGTTTTGGTGACAGTGAGTGCTGATTTATAAAGATTGTTGATTATTCATCTCAGCAGCAGTATTTATTATTTTTCTTTTCGTTTCTGTGTGAAATATATGGCTTCAAGCCTCAAGGTTTAACGTTTCAGTAGCAGTGGTTAATCTCTTTAAGGGATGAGCTTACTAAGATGGAAAATCACTCAACGAGGTTGTGAATTTACATCGACTGAGGTGGTTAGGACATGTATTACGCACGCCTAGCTATTGCTTTCGTCGACAGGCAATGTTAGCTGACATAGGATCAAGTTGGTAAAGAGCTAGTGGTGGTCAAACCAAAACATGGCTTCATCAGTCAGTGAAATCCACAACAGCTAGTTTAAGCCAGTGAGGTGTAGACTTCTTGGTTGAGGTCTTCGAGATGACAGAAACCAACGGCTTGAGACAACTGGTTATATGGCTGAAAATCATTCTCGATGATGGCGCAGATACATTCACTCTTCCTGATTTGTCGAATCTAGAAAAACTCTGTTGTTCCTCCATATTAATATTCTTTTTCTTCTCTCACTTTGCATGGCACATGGAGAGCGGCAACACAAACTGGGGCACATCTGTGCAAATTTCTACATTGAAACCAGTCAGTTATATTACTAGCCTCACACCCAATCTTTTTTCCTTAACGGTCTTACTGACGGCTAAGTGGGGTTTATGAGTGCATCGGACGGGAATCGAACCTTGTACCACCTGCATGGTTGGCATTTGTTCTACCAGTGGAACATCGATAAAATTGCTTGTACAAATTATAGAAAGTTATTGCTTACACAATAAAGAAAAATCTGAACTGTGACTAGAGAGACACTATCGAAAGTATTATTTTCAAAGTTTATTTATTCCACGGTGTTAAATCCTACGTCATAATCCTTTACATTAAAATGTTAAGTTTATGGGCTAAAAAGGTTTCAGAGAATTCGTGAATCCTTTTGACATTAAGCTATACCACTTTTAGTGATCAATATGTTTATCGCCACTGTTTGAAATTGAAGGAATCAGACTGCGGCAGTAAGTGTTTGAAGAGACATGAGTGCGGTTGCTGCATTACAATGCGTTTGTGTATCAGTATACAATATCAGTATTATCCTTAACTGAATGTTTCCCTAAACAGCTGTTTGCGATGTACTCTACTGTTATCAGTTGAAATGATACCATTAGAAGCCTGGCCATGAGGTTCAAAGCAGACTGTGTTGTAAAATCAGCCGACTAACTGTGTATATAAGGCCAAAGATCATGTCTATAAGGGTTATTTCTATGAAATCATTTAAAATTATCAATAGACATGACAGTTCAGTTCTCCTCAAGTTTAACGAAGCAATCAATATTAGACACCTGAAACCTGAAACGGTCAACAGTCTTCCCTAGGCCCAATAACTGGGTGTCTTTACTCCCTCCTTCATTTGATTACACATAGTTTGTCCTTAACATCCTCTTTGCTATCATGTGATTTTTCTTCTCTTATGTTATTTCTATGAAATCATTTAAAATTATCAATAGACATGACAGTTCAGTTCTCCTCAAGTTTAACGAAGCAATCAATATTAGACACCTGAAACCCGATTTAAGCGTCCAACGGTCAACAGTCTTCCCTAGGCCCAATAACTGGGTGTCTTTACTCCCTCCTTCATTTGATTACACATAGTTTGTCCTTAACATCCTCTTTGCTATCATGTGATTTTTCTTCTCTTATGTTTCTATGATTTGAGTTAAACTCACCACGTTGTGACTCAGCTTATTTTTTCTGTACACAAATTTGACCATTTATTCAGGATGCACACAGCTGATGAAAGGTCGACGAAATAGACGATAATACCAGCTTATTCTGCAAAAGCTGCTGTTTTCACTCTATTCGATCAACAGTACTTGTTACCCAGATCGGAATGACCTTAACACTGGGAGATCGTTTCGCTCGTTGCGAGCTGACCTTTATCAGTGGTGAATCCTACGTAACTCACCTCTGACATTTGAATCATTCTGTCCAATTAGCTTACCTGAATTCTAGTGGTTTGAACCAATCCACTCTTCTGAGCTAAATAAAACCGGATGCACTACTAATGAGATCGGTTTCAAACAATGTTTAGTTCACTTCTCTTGGGTTAGTAAGCACTAATGATCAATGTGACTGGTATTATCCAACTACTCATATGAATAAGTAGTATGTAACATCATGCGTCTATGTTTACCTTCTTAATCACCATTTACGGTATCAAGCAGATCATATATTTTATGACCTGAATAACTTCGGCTTCCAAAAGGAACTGTAGTGAAGTTACACCTGAAAGTGTTTAATAAGTGAAATGCGAATTTTATAGTAGGAACGTCCATAAACCTCGAAGGTGCCATTTAGAAAATACTTCAGACAAGAGTTAATTTTAACAAAACTTATTGCTGGTTTCCATATGTAGACAGTAGCGTCAGTGGTTCAGTGGTTGGATAGTCTCTAAGCACGTGGTCCGCTGTGATTCGATTCCTAACCAACGTCCTCCCAAACCTCGATTAGTTGGTAATAAGACTGGGTCAAAGGAAAATAATAAATGTGAGGCTAACAGTCTCTCCCCGTAAAAAGAAAAACAACTGTTACTTGAACTTCAAAGTTCAAACTTGAAGTCACACGCTCTATTTGGAACTCAGAGGAATAAAATGAATAACTTCAATAGTAATACAGTTAAAATTGACAACAGAATTGACTTACACTTGCTACAGTCTGAAACATTGGGATTAATACAAATTTAATGAAACCAATTTGAGCTGATGGTTTGGTAACTTTTTCACGATCCATAAATGGAGCCACTGGTAAACCTTCCAATTTTTCACGATCAGACTAAATATAAATAACAGAAAAAAGTGAAAACAATAAGTCAAAGAACATCTTACTAACAGTCTGTAACCATTAAAACAGTTATATTTTTCAGTTATCGCCAATTCTTAGCGCCTTTTTTACATTTTACTCAAATTTGTGAAGGTTTGACTCTGATTGGTCGTTAGTTCTTTAAACTTATCAGTGAACTTAGTGTTTCTCAAGGTCACTCAAGACTTATATGCTATTTAGAACTGCTGTTAACAATTTTGAATAATGTTTGAGGCAATAAAAGTTGTCCTATTTTTTCTTGTGATTGTTGTTAACGTTGTGGCTAGCTATCAGAGTGGCTCGTATTTCTTCTAACCTACTACACTGCAATACTGGGTATAAGAAAAAACGGTCATAAATGGTTATCAGGGCACCAGGAAAACATTTAAGTGATCATTGTAAAAGCCCCTGAAAAATCTGTGGGAGAATTACTGCGAATTTGTTGAAGGTGACTGTTTCAGATGTTCCCATCAGCCAGTATGATCTAAATAACTATTTATTATAATATCATCAATTGAGCTAAACCACAAATTAACTATCTAAATCAAGGGGTGAAGTGTTGTTAAGTCAGTATGTAGTGTGTTATTCAACTTTGTACTAATCTTCTGAATATTTAACCGACAAAAGCAGAACTGATACTTGAAAGTTAATCTATAACTCATTAGTGACCCACTACAGCATGAATTTTCTTGAAGTTTTAGTGGAAAGTCGTGATCAATGGAGTCCACCTAGTTAGGCTTGATGACAAATGCTTACCGATGACAATCGCTGTCGGTCACAGTTTATATCGTAAATTGGCAGAAGTTAAAATTCATGGGCCACTGAATTCCATCCCAGTAGCTGAATGTTATATGCATTTGCTTTGTAACCTGGAGGCATTGAATTCAATCCCTAGTGGGTTTATAGGTACATACGACTGAGAGGTCCAAAACAAGGACGAAACATCTGCCCACCAGAACTCCATGGTGGTTCACAATGGTTTCCTAAATGAAGTCAATTCATGGCCGAAATATAAAAGCGGAAGTATTTATCCATGTTTGATATTTTTCTTTGATGCATTTGAACCAAATTAATCAGTGCCATTGGTTGAGTGGACAACGCATAGGTGTTTGACGCTATCATTGCTGGGTTCAAGTTAAATGAAGAATACTATTATTCATCCGAATGACGAGCGAGAAATTGAAAGAAACGCTTGCCTTGGATTCCATTGTTGCCTACCACCAAACAGGTAGGCAGAAAAGTAAATCAAGATTTGTTGTTCTAGGTTATTTGAAGAAATTATGCCATCCATGTATGTGGAAAGAAGTTAAGCCTTTTACCAAAAACTATGTTTTAAAGATGTTGTACGCCAAAGTGTATCCTCTGAATGCGGTAAATGTATGTAGACGATAAATCGACAAAACTGAAAATAAAAGATTTCCAACCATACAAATTCAGCAGTGGTCTTAGTCCAATTTACTAACAGGACCTTCTGATATTCCATTTCATTATAAAAAGGTAGTAGGTTGGGGAGTTAAACACGAGTGTTCATAGAAAACTTATATTTACGGTGACGTTTGGATCTCGGTTCATCCCATGCCAGGACCAGTGAAACCTTTGAGTCTAATAGTGCAAAACAGCTAAGCACAATTAAATAAAAAACTTCATTAGGAAATAAGACAAATAAGAGAAACCTTGAGTCTTAATAACAAGGATTACTCTGTCAAATTCTTAGGTCAAAGCAGCAAACCAGTATCAGTTAAACTGGTAGAAGTTAAAAGCTTAGGGAAGTCTTGACTTTTCGACGCCGATAATGATAAGAAATGAAAGGAAAAGTCCAACTGTGGCACTTTATGAAGTTACAGACAGCTGTACAATACGATGGGACAAAATGAAAGTGAACACGTACAAAAGGAACAATTCATCACCTGCTGCGGACATCCAGAAAATTCCTGTAACCTTACGACAAGTGGAAAGCAAGTACAAGAAGTGCATAAATCAATTTACAGTTGATAGTATGGCGATGAACAATAAACTGTCCGAAACATTACCCAGTGGAACAATACTATCCCACAGTGTAATATATACAATAATAGGGGATTACATACTACCAAAGGGTCCAAGTTTTACACATATATTAAGACAAGATACACTTAAAGATAATTAATTCAGAGAAGTAACGTCATATTATTCATAATTTTGGGCCTAAAAACTATCAGCATTTGTAGCTCTAAATTTCTAAATTCTCCAGCTACGCCTAATAAACCAGCTATGAAGGTGTAGGACAGCAGGGTAAACATTCATTAGACGGCTAGAGGCGGTCGATAGGAAGCCTCTGTTTCATCTAGGTCAAGGGTCAGCATAGCGTAACCGAAACCTTGAAAGAAACTATGTCCATCTTGAGATTCGAACCTGTATCACCTGCAGTGTTGTAGTCACAGATGTTACCACCGAGCTATTTGAGCTGGCGACCGACCGCTGTAGGAATGTAAGAGATACTTTGATGTGACATTAAGTGGTAACTCATGTCATGTATCTGGTCCTTGGTGTTGGTGCAGACTTAATCCCATTCCTCAAATCACTGATGAACTCTGATTGGGGGGATTTTCAATTGCATCATGTTTTGTTATTGGTAGGATTTCGGCGAAATATAGCATATTTTTGTGCTACTTATCGGTCACACATTGATTTCCTCTCAACCGACTTTATGTCTCCAAACCGAACGATGGCTGGTAACACCGTCCATTAGTCGAAATTCATAGTTCAAATCCTGCCTCGCCTGCCTGGTGGCCATGATCAATGGGCGATTCTGAAGGTAAAATATCTAACCACGTACCAAAACCAGACGTAAATAATGGTGTACACGGTTCGCATTCTGTTACTGCAGGGAAGTGTTGGTCGAAGGAGTCAAGTTCGGGTTTTATGCTGCTAAGTTTGAAACACTTGTCAAAAGTCAAAAGGAGTAAACACTTTATGGATGGACACTACTGATGACTTCCAAACTACCTAGTAATCTGTGATTTTCAGTGATTGTCCAACTCACTAGGGTTCATGAAGAAACCTGCATTTCTTTCTCTCGTAATCAATATTAACCAAACAGAATGTGTAAACTCTCATAGAAAGCAATCAAAATGATTCAAAAAAACTAACGGTTAGTAAAATATGCTCAGCAAAAGGTTCTTTCATTTAACAGTCATTAAGACTTACCTGGTTGAAGTATTCTTCAAGTAAACAGTCAACCCATGGTTCACTAACATTCATTGGTCTGACTTCATTTGAAATATCACAACATTTTATAAGCACCATTTTAAACTACAGGAAATAGTAACAATGAGTAACAGTAATAATAATAATAACCATAGCAGGAGTGGATATTATGATTACTGTGGTGAAAAAAGGTTATTGAACTAATGGTTACTCGAATGGTCTGGAAAAGAAGCCCTGTAAATGTCAGATTGATAATTTTAACTTCATCTACGTTAGCGATGAATTCAAAAACGTCTTTAACACTATGATTTACTACCATCTTGTGTAATGGTTGGAGGAATTCACCTAGCCACTTTGCCACTCTATGGTAGGTGGAATTAAACATATCTAGGACTAGGCGAAGAGGAAATCCTGGTTTATGTACTTCGGGCAGACCACACAATCGTGAAGTACTACTTCCAGTAAGTTTAAGACGGTTGTAGGCTGCCTCTGAGATTACTCCACTTTTTCTCATCTCCTTAAGCGTGTTAGCTAACTGCTTTTCAGCTTTTCCGTCTAGATCTGTTGAGTTACTAAGCTTTTGGAAGTTCGTTTCATCTGTTAGAAGCGAATTCCTTTTGTCGACATAATCGTACTTTTTCATCAGTACTACTCCGGCTCCTTTATCAGGTCTACTGATTATAATGTTTTCGTCGTTCCTCAGCTTTCTTAGGGCTTCTCAATGCTGTTTACTCGGCAAGCTTTTACTAGAATGACTACTGTTTTTGTACTGCTGACAACTGTCGACTAGTGTAGTTTCAAACCTAAAGACTTCATCGTCAGACGTTGGGATCAAATCTTTTGTTTGTATGAGGAGGTTTTCAAATTGAATATCGGTATCAAGTTGGTTGACCTTATATCCTTGGTCGCAAAATCTGGGACCCAATGATAGACCTTCTAACTATAATTTATCTAGTGTAACACTTGAAAAATTATGGATCAGAAGTTCACTTCAGACGTAAACAAGACTTGTGTGAACTGATTCAGTCCCAAGATTCTTTTAATATCGATGGCAATGTGACAGGAAATAAATGGCGGCCTGCTTAAGTCTTGGGCTACCAATTACCTTAAACATTACAAATCATATTGCATCTAATTTCTCATTTCTAATTGATTTTTAATCAATAAATCTTATTCAAATATGACCTCAAATCGGATTATTTATTCTCGTGAATATTTAATATCCTTAAAACCTACTGATCTGCAACTCCATAAAAAAGACAAGAAAAAGCATCATGCCGGCTGGCAGAGAGCATTAAAAAATACCCCTATTCAATTCATGACTGTTCCCGCAATTATGAGTACCAATTGTCGCTCCCTGCCGGCTAAAATTAACTGTCTTCAATCGCTGGTGTCTTCCATTATATATCATAATACTGGGATCATATCACTTCAAGAAACATGGCTTCATGATCTATATGATGACAATCTAGTGTATCTAAATAATTTCAAATTATTCAGACAAGATCGGTGTAGTTCCAGGAAGAAACGCGGTGGCGGTGTCGCCATCTTCATCAATTCACAATGGTGTACGTCTAATAATGTATGTTTCAAATTCTCTAGTGACAATATTGACTGTCTCACCGTTAAGTGTCGACCTAAACATTTGTCAAAATACAACTACATTTACATCTCGAACATGTATATTGCTCCTGGATGCAACTCCACAGAATTATCTTTATTTGCGGATGAATTTACTTCCCTTGCTGCCACCTCCTTCGGAAATTCCTTGTCTATAGTTACTGGTGATTTTAATTCTAGTGATCACAGCTTCCTAATTTCACTTGGACACGATAATATTGTCAACTTCCCGACTAGAATGGACAACACTCTTGATCTTGTGTTTACAAACGATGCAGGAATATTTGAAGCTCGAAAAAGAGCCCCACTACTAAATTCAGATCACTGTATCATAAGAATATTGCCCAAAGTATATGGAAAGCAGCACAAAAGGGTCTTCTCACACCTTGGAAAGAAAACACAACACAGATGTTATTCCCATGACAACATACTGAACCTAAGGTCCATGTTAAAAGACACAAACTGGGATCTATTTACTGAACAAGCTCTTGATAACACAATTGCCAACATAACACATTATCTTAATTTCTGTCTTGATGTTTGTTGTCCAAAAGAGACAATCTTCTTAAAATTCGATCGCTTCTCCTCTTCTCAACTCAAAAAGCTCCGCCGTGAAAAAGAAAGGTTGTTCAAAATGAAAAACAAATCTGGTGTTAAGAGAATGAACACTTTGATTAAGCTTGAATTACAAAGATTGAATGCTCTCTATAACCAGAAGTTTCTTTCATGTAAATCCCCATCAAATATGTGGAAGTTATTAAAGGAAATCACAGGTGGTAAGCAAATGTTGAATGATATTTCTGTAGATGTTAACATGCTTAATGAATCCTTCATATGTATCCCAGCAAATGTTATGATTCCTAACTCAAATAGTGTAAACAATGACTGCTTCTCATGCTTTAACACGAATGATGTCCTCAAGTGTCTTCAATCTCTCAAGCCTACTCAGTCCCTCGGTCCTGATGGTGTTCCTGCTGTTATCCTTAAGAAGTGTGCCGACATCTTGTGTTCCCCTAACTGACATTTTCAACGAATCGTTTTCCAAAAGTATTATACCTGAATCATGGAAAAATATCAAGATCGTTCCAGTGCCTAAATCAACAAGTGGACCTAATGTTAAGTTTAGACCCATTTCAATTACCTCACCTTTTTGAAAGTTATGGAAAGACTTATTTTACTTAATCTTGATCCCTCTTTAAAACCTTTCAACGACCCCAACCAGTTTGCTTATAAACATAGTAGGAGTACGTTAGATGCCGCTGTTGTCCCACACCATAGCATAGTCTCTAGTTTAGATAAAGGAGCTAAATACGTTCGCTGTGCCTTCCTTGATTACACATCTGCATTTGACTCTGTTCCCAGGTCTCTCTTGCTAAGTAAGCTTGCTGCAACACAGGCTGAAAGCTGGACAAATAAGTGGTTGCATTCCTATTTTTCTGAAAGGAAGCAGTACACCGTCTACAATGGAAAGTCCTCCACTACCTCACTTACTTTAGCTGGTGTTCCTCAAGGTGCTGTTCTTTCTCCCTTTCTGTTCTCGTTTTTCTTACATGACTTGCCTCATTCTGATGTAGCCACTTTTGTTAAGTATGCCGATGACCTCTCGGTTTCTATGCCTGTCAACTCTCAGTCAGATTGTTCCAAATTAAATAACTTTCTGTCGGAAATTAGTCAGTGGTCCTCTTCAAACGGACTTAAGCTTAATCCGTCTAAATGTCAGGTAGTCAATTTCACTTTCAGACGTAAATGTGACCTACAGCAACTAGTTAGCTCACATGGCCCCACTCTCATTGACGGCACAGAGGTTGAAAATACATCTAATGTCAAGTACCTTGGGCTGAGTTTTTCCACCGATCTTTCCTGGTCTTCCCACATCTTGCTAGTTACTAGAAAGATGTTTCGCTTAACGTTCTACATTAGGAAATTTAGGCAGTCTGGCATAAACCAGTCTTTACTTTCTCAGTTTGTAAATTCTTGTATTCTACCCATCCTCCTTTACTGCTCCCCATTAGTCTTTCCTGGACTACTTAAGAAAGACTTTGCTTCGCTGAGAAGGGCACTAAAAGCCGTTAGTAGGGCAAGTGGGATATCGTTAAACCAACTGGTTAACACTATTGTAGATAGACACATAATGTCATGTAAGAAACTAGCGAATACAATATTGTCGGACCCCGAGCATCCTCTCTATACGCATCTATCTCCTTGCATTTCATCTGGTAGAACTAGAAGCAGCTATAGGAGGCTATATGCTAGGACTACCAAATACAAAAACTCCACAATACCATATCTGGCACAGCTGTTATGTGATGAGAAATCCGTTAGGTATGACACGATAAACTTACTGCGGCACTCTAACAAATAGTCCCATTAGTTTTTGTTTTCCTTTTTTCGTTACTACTACACTGTTGTTCTCATCTTCTATCACATCAACTTTATATTTCATATCCTGTGGTGCATTGTTTGAAATGTAAACTCTACGCTGTTTTTTTTAATTATTTTTATTTATTTTATTTTTATTTATTTTCTCTTGATTTTAAAAATCTTATATAATTTATGAGATAATTAGATGCAATATACTGTAATGCGCGCTGAAAATTCCATACCTGTATCACAAATACCGTTTGGAATAAAGCTGTTAATATTATTATTATTAAAAAATCGAATATCCCATATCTTAGCATCAGTTCCTCTTTAAGTATTTGCTGACCGCCTAACATCTTGTTGATTTATAAGAAGAATTTTCTTTTGAACTATTACACAAGGAAGCTGAAACTTTCTTCTGACATAACTCATCCTCTTCCCTTAAAATTTATTAATTCATTTATGCTACCTCTTATTATTCCCTGGGCTTCTCGAAAAAGACCATGTCATATTCTGGTGGTGTGATACAGAAAGTGTTTGCCAACGGAATATTATTCTCACATATTCCCACAGTTCAATTCGGCATTAGCAACAGCAACAGACAGAATACTTTTTCCGCGTTTATGTACCCCATTAACAGTGTAATAATATGTATACTTGAAGATTCTATTTCATGTCGTTTCGGTGTAAACCGAAATCACACACTCAGTGATTGGTTGACGAATATAAACTGTAGATACATAAACAGCGGTTTGATTAATGAAAAGTATACCTTGACTTTCGTGTCTTGCCTTCTGTTGCTACAATATTATGTAGAACACTGAAGGCTGCGAGCAAGGTCAGTGGTGTGTGTGTGTGTGTGTGTGCCTTTAACCCAACTAACTGACACTGCGATTGATTGGCATTTTTATTCTTGCAAGCAGTTAGCTTAAGTCATCTTGTCTGCTACACAGAACATCTTCTTAATTTGCAACTCTCATTTAATCTCTTCAGATAAAGCCTGAAAGAAATTTATGCTAGTACAGCAAAATTATAAAACTCCAACCATGCGCTATATTTTTAGCACAAGTTTTATGTCAAGAGAAAAATGTCATAAAAGAGCTCATAAACTTTTTGATCTGCAAATAAATAGCAGATCATTAACCAGAATTATTATCATTACATATACCAATCAGTCTTCAATTAATTTTCGGTCTTTGTAGCTTTATTATTTTCACTATTTTAGATATATATATGTAGGCGGTTTGCTTGAAACTTGGGCTACCTAAGACTTCCATCTCTCTATTGAATATATTTTTTTCCTCATTCAGTTTGTTTTAATCAATGAAGATATGACCCCCAGTGATATTATCTACTCTTGTACACATTGGAAATGTATATAAATTTCTTTTTCGCAAGTTCCTACTAAACTTCAGAAAAGGCCCAACTATGAGTGGCGATGTATTCCAATGCATGAGATAACGGTTCTTCATTTATGTCCTTGTGAATCAAAATGTACTTCTGAACAGCTTACAAGTGGCTTTCAACTAGATCTATATCGTGGATTTCTTGGAGGAGACGAAGCAGATATATCATAATAGAATGATTTTGCGCTTCAGCTCAGAGACCATTGTGTCTGTCACAGGATATAATACTGTAAATTAATATTTCACTTGAAGATACTGTACGAAGGGAAAATATCATGCAATAAACTCCCTCTGAGAATTCTGTACATTTTATGAATACTGTTCAGAATAAAGACGTTATTATTATATGTTTATAAAGGGAGATAAATTGTTTCAAATGTGTACTAGTGCTGAAAATTCCATTCTGCATAACTAATGTTTGGAATAAAGCGACTATTACAATTAATAGTAGACTTTCTAGACAGGAATAGATATGAAGAAACTTTGCGAATTTCAGGAAGTATTGATATGTTCTCCTCACACTGAAGTACATTCTACATTGAAGATATTTACAAAAACTGAGAAATAACTTCTAAAATACTTCAGTGATATTCATGGTTCAGTGGCAAAGTAGTCACAAACTACGCCTTACGGTATTCCAGATTCACATATCTGAATTGACATCGTTGTTGAGAATAAGGATTTTCTTCCTCTTATTAGTTTCCGTGAATCTCCACACTGGTGTCAGGACCCCTGTTCTGTTTCCGGAAACTAGCTCGTTTGGACATCGTTATCAGTGCCGCCTATAGTTGAAACAGTGCTGCCTGTTCACATGATGATTACTTTAGATTACTCCCGATGACAGATGTTTGCTGTCGGTGGTCCGGTATCTAAATCAACTCCTTCTTCACTACATTCACTTGAAGCACCTTCTTCACTGCAGGTTGCTTACAGTAGCACAGTCGATATGTGTGCTTTTTAAGTTGTCTGTACACCATTAGGACCATGAAAACTACTTTTACTTATTATTGATATTCCCATGGGTTCTGAGTGGAATATAGGGCTTCAGCAGGATATCGCGATCTCCCTCTTTTCTTCTCAGTCTATTATAGGTTACTCCACAAGGTCCTGTGTGGGACGTGGTTTCGCTCGACGGTTTCCTCAATGTGTATGTCCACTATATCTCTATATTTTTTATATGTTTGTGTTTGATTCGTTGTCAGAGTTCCTTGTTGTTTATAAACGCCAGCCGGTCATCCAATCTTCCGTATGAAGCAAACACAACTGTTGATGTAAGCGTTTCATGACGCGGACGCCAAGTCTCTGAAGTATATAGAAGTACTAAATTGACATTACTGTTGAAGATCATTTCCTTATGTCCAGTGCATTCGATTTCCCCATCCTGACTGCCTTTGACATCTTCATCTGTCCCGCCTGTAGCTGAAATGCTGTCCAAATGGGTTTGTGAAAAAATGACTTTTATGAGATATCTACCATTGATACTTGCGACGAGAATTTTGACTGCACATTCAACCAATATGTGTCTCATTTTAGCCTAGGGTGATACTTGTGACGATCACCACTTTTATATTGCCTTCATATTAATATAATAATAATAGTAATAATAATTTACAAGCCATGTACAAGAAGCAATACGAATGACGTTTTCGAATATGAAGATTCAAGTTCTACATCCAAACTGTTATCAATATTATTCCATTGCAATCCGAGTATAAATTAAGACTCCTTGCTTGACCTTTAAAGTTTAAGTAATAATGGTGTTTATATTATGCGGGACGGGGTTGCTAGCCTCATATGCAACTCTTCTTCTTTACTGAGTTTACTACCGGCTAAGAGACTTTTAGAGCAGTAAGTCGGCCGGGGATCGAACTTTAGACCACGTAAGGCTAAGGTGAATCTAACTTCTACAGTTAACATATCGTATTACATAGTTGAGATGAGATAATGTGTCACTGTCCAACGTTCAGCTCATAAGATGTTCAGTGAAGCAAATATTAGATTCATGCAGGGTTAGGTGATCGTATAAAAAGTTGAATTTATCCACTTACGGTTTCACGATGTTCTTTTTTATTCATTGAAAAACCTTCTTCTAAATGTCTTCTCATTGTTTCCAATATTTCACCATGTCTAGCCATATCAGTAGCTAGAATTAGGCTTGTCATTCCCTTTTTCAGATTAATATTATAAAATAAAGTTTTTTAAATATTGTGTAACAAAATAAAGCGAATATTTTAATGGCATAGATATGAATAATGAATAGAGGTGAAGTAAAAACGTGGAGTGCTGGAGGAATAACAAGAAACGAGGTGTCCAGATACCTAGTTTGAAATTATTACACCTGTAATAATAGAAGCAACGGCTAAAAATGTCTTTCTCACACTACAGTCACCAAGAATTTCTCCTGTTCTTACATCTCCAGTTATTACATACAAAATCAATATTAGTATATCAATTTAAGGTTATCACAGACAGCGTCATCAGCAAACGATCAGGTACCAGTGGTTGAATGGTAGATGAGCTCTGCTTGTAACTAGAAGGTTCTGGGTTCAAACACTAATGAGTTTTGCCGGTGAAGAGTCCCAAACTAGGACGATACAGCTACCCAGCACTTCCTGGCACTTCAGTGGTCCTCTAACTGGCATCAGCCCATGATCAGACCTCTACGAACAAACAATTCGGACGACCGAAAATTATTAGTACTATTAGTATTTCCTTGGGTTCTAGGTAGAACCTTAGGCCTCAACAGCACATCGCTACTTCACCCTTTCCTCAAATTCTTTTTAGCAGACTCCACAACAGCCCGTAAAATTTTATCTCCTCCTCACACGATCTCCTCCATGTCATCCTGAGACTCTTCCATTCAGGTTCCATCCGGGGAGATTGGTTGGACTACATGATGATACTGTATACAAGGGGCTGAGATGAGTGTGTTCAGTCCTCTTGATATTTAATATATAATTGCCCAGTCTTTGGATGTATTACTGAGTGAATAACCTCACCTAGGTTACGAGTCCTATAGTTTACTACCACGTTGTAGCCCGGTAAAACAGGGGAGATTGAATGCAGGCCTAGCAACACTACCACAGAAAATCAATCTTATCGTAATACAAACTTCAAAGATACCAAAAAATATTGTTTAAGAAAATAGTCTAATAAAAATGGGCGTAAAATGAAACCGTTTTTCTAAAGAAATCTTCAGTTATCAGCATAAGCTACATGATAAGAACTCAAGGGAGGATAAAGGTTTTATCATAGAACCTTTAATTTGCTCGTGAGCGACTTTAAAGAATAATGTATTTCTGATGTAAATTACACGCTGAAAAATTACTTGCCACATAAAGCTAAAGTGAAAACTACTTAAATGGAAGATGGTTCCACTGTAATTACTTCGAACAAAGTTAATTATTCATTACATTAATTTTAATGTATTGAGAATCAGTGGTTCACGTGTGGAAATCTTCTTGTAGTAGTCTGTTTAAGTCACTAAGCTACTTAAATTTTCCTGCCCATCAAAATGCGCTGGTGTTTACTCCGTTTCTTAGTGATCTGATTACCACAGTGAGTCACAATTCCATACTTACTCACCACTTGAAGTAAATCTCTACCTACCATCTCGGGAATTTTTTGAAGGAAATAAAGGAAGAACACTGTGAAATAGCACTAGAGCAATCTTCGGGTGGAACAATATTTTTATTTTTTTAATTTTTTTTTAAATATTTTTATTTTTGATTACAGCTTGATTTCACACCGTATTTTTGGTACAGGTATGGAATTTTCAGCATGGATATCGGTAACCCGAATTTTGCAGGCCAACCATAGATATCAGGTGTGCGTCCGCATGTGCATGGTCGGCGAGACTCCTGACCACTGTGCCACTGATGCACTTCAGATGATATATTATCGATTATCAAGTTATTTGAAGATTCTGTACTAGTGAATAACAGCCCACCAGAATTTATGTGATATGATCCTGAGCAATGAGTTAGGCTTGAAACGTCATCAAGTTGTAAATACCGCATCACTGTGTGACATTTACAATAAACTTATGAAATTGATGAAAATAGAATAAATAATGCGGGATTCAAAGTATCGATGGTACCTGTCATATAAAGAAGGAACATAAGAAGTCCTATAAAGGATTCTTAAAAAGGCTGGGACTTAGGTGGCATTTAAACGAATCAACCAAGTCACTTACGGTAAAACGTTATCGGCTTAGAGACCTGATAGATCCAGTTAAGAAAAATAATATAATTTATCGAATACCATGTAATGACTGTGAGTGAGATCAATTACATAGGTCAAACTAGTAGATCGGGATCAATTAGATAATCGGAATATAGGAATTTAAAAACAACAAAGTTCAGCGAAGACTGTCTTTTCGGTGAATTCATTCACTTAGCTGTACAATCGCATTAATATATAATTACTTTGGGCGTGTGTGTGTGTGTGTGTGTGTGCGGGCGTGTACATTAAGATTGGTTATAGGATTTCATCATGAGCTGACATTGGTTAGAGAACCATTGGAAAACCTGGAAGTACTGGACAGCTGTTTCGGCCTAGTTTGGGACTCTTCAGCAGCACAAATCAATACTTGAATATCAATGAGATGCTCACTGGTGACTGGCCCTATTCAGGTAGGTAGTTACCTGGGGTTCAAGTGGTAAGTCGTAACCAGTAGGGTGCAGCAGGTCGGGTGTGACGAAAAATACTTGCCGAAGACATTGGCTAGCGGTTGCGCTAAATCGTGAATCGGCAGAGGTTAGAATTCGTGGGCCATTGGATCAGGTCCCAGTGGATTAATGGTCTACGAGCTCGCCTTGTAACCAGAAGGTCCTGGGTTCGAGCCCCGTGGTGTGGGTGCATACTACTGAAGAGTCCCGAAGTGGGACGAAACAGCTGTCCAGTACTCTCAGGTTTTCCGATGGTTCTCTAACCAATGTCACCTCATGATGAAATCATGTAACCAATCAACCGAATCCCTACAAACCAATACTTGAATACATTAAGATTGTCAAACAAAAATAAAAATTCGTTAGGACTACTGTTTATGTCATCAGAATGTTTCTAAAGTGTGATGAATAATTAGAATTCTAACTAGGGGAGGGTGAAGATTGGGAATTATTGACAAGGGTTGTCTAATATGAAATAAGTTATTAATGGATACACATGTCCAAAGATAAATTATGTAATAGGTACAAGGAGTAAATAAAAGGGAGATTAAGATGTTATTAAGATGCCATGCAAAAATTCGAAAAACAAAAATAATAAAACAAAACATTATTGACAAAGTCGTCGAACTTGGAATTATACCCAGGGTGGAAGAAGGGAGTGGAGAAGTTTCTTCTGTGTGCATAAATCAGGGTTTCCTATCCGTATCGTTGAGGCCTCGGCAATGCAATGTATGCGGAAGCTTACCATTTTTGGGAGGCTTCCTTGAACCTTGTAGATGACTTTGAATGAATTCTCTTTACATATTGAGTGACTGGTGTTGAATATATGTTCAACTATAGTACTCTTTATTGATCTACTGTTACCTTTTCGCAGCGAAGCAGGATAATGTTCTTTGACTCTTTTGGATAAAACACGCATTGAACGACCTATATATCTCGTTCAACATGAACAAGTAAATTGGTAGATATACATTTCTTTATGCTTTATTCCTTTACATTCTCAGTGGAACATAAGGCTTTCACGTAGAGGCTTGAAGTTTCTGTAGCAGTGGTGATTATGTTTATAGGGTGGAGTTGCTAGCCTCATGTCCAACCTTCCCTCTTTATCAGTCTTATTACTGGCTTAACGATGTAAAGGAGTGCACCCGTGGCTGGAGATCGAACCCCGGACCACCTTCGTGGTTGGCGAGCACTCTACCGCTTTGCCACCCACGCACGGTGGGTATATATAGAAATGGTCAAATGCTATAATTTATCTTTGGAGTCGTTGAAGAAAAATGGGCGGCTTGAGTACACCAGTTGTAATGTAACAGCAGGGGATGTTCATTTCAGGACGTTAGATATTCTTCTATTTAAGACGTCGGCCAGAAGGTCGCCTTTGGACTCCATATTCATGTGTAGCATCTTCGGCACAAAGGAATTTAGCTAGGCCCAGAATGACTGATCATACTAAGATGATTAACTTAGAAATAATCTTACCCGCTGCGATGCATTCACTTGCATACAATCATAAAATGCATTGGGATAGGGCGAAAGTATTAAAAGGCGATATAATTAAGTGGATAGAGAGGGAAAAAGAGAGAAGTTAACCGCTGAATCTTTGTTCATCGAATCAGCAACAAACATATAAGATGTCTGAATTCATGTAGAAGTTATTAATAAAACAAGTTAGTTACGTAACTAGGGTATGTCATGAAAGACGATATGTAAACATTTTTTCTAGAAACCAATGTTTGGGTGTATCAAAGAATATCTAACGTTTTATTTTAAAAAAAACATCGAAAGTATGTTTAATTCCCATTTCAAAATATTTGCTGAACAGTTGACCTCGTATATGCAAGTAGTTATCGAGTTTCCATTTCTATGTATGAAACTTACACAAAAGGCATTGATTCGCCTTATATAAAGATGCACTGCAGTTGAAAGCTTTGTACTGATATGCTTTTTAGTGTACTTTCTATGAACTATATTCGCTTGGAATAAGCTTTTTAAAAAAGAAGTTTTCATACCCAGCATTTTAACCAGTGAAGAATATGAGTTTGTTTTACTGAATGCTGTTGGATGCGCTGACATTTTTTGTATCATGTTAGAAAACATTCAAATGGTCTAAATTAATTCGCGCAGAAGAAGTACAGTTGGGCGGTAATTGCAAATTGTTTCATGAAGCTCGTGAAAGAAAACCTCGTCCCCTTTAATAAACTTGGATAATGCACGAACAGTCAGTGTAGCAGGTCAATACTAAGCTCATTATTAGTCTCAGCTCTTCACATCTAAACCCTTTCAAATGGTATAACTTACAATAAGAGAGATTATTTACTTGTTATGTCATTTCATTCCTTTGCGTTCCAAATGGAACATAGGGCTTCACGCTGAAGTTTTTTGAAGTTTCGGTAACAATGGTTTTATTTATACGGGGTAGGGTTGCTAGCCTCACGTTCAACCATCCATCTTTATCGGGATTACCACCGTCTAAGCGATGTTTGGGAGTTTATCGGGCAGCGACCGAAACCCGAAACACTTGCATTGTTGACGAGCATCCTACCCCTGAACCAACAACGCACACAATCCAGTAGAAGATATTTCTGTCAAAATGATAGGCCATTTTAAGTCAGAATACCTAGATACTGTATAGATGAAAGTAATTATAATAGTTGCATCAGGCTAGAGAGTATTAAGTGTTAAGGATTCTGAGTAATTTTGGGATGTGTTTTTCATTCCTTGCATTCAAAGTGGAATATATGCCTCCAAACTGCTTGAACTTTCAGTAGCAGTGGTGTGATTTGTATGAGATGAGGTCATTGGCCTTGTGCCCAACCTTCCTCTTTTTCCGGGCTTATCAACAGTTAGGTGGATGGCGAACGCATAGACGGGAAGTCGAACTTGAACATTCTATTCTGCTAGTGAGTAATCTACCGCTAAAAATACTTGGAAGAATCAAGTACAGAATAAAAAAATGCGTTCAGAATGTACATGGGAGCAAAATTTAGACTAGATATAATACTCAATCGCTACAGTTACTTCAATGCACAGACAAAATATAAAAAGTGAGCCTATTCTTCTCTGGAATCGGAGACAGAATTGCGGGGTAGCCAGTCAGCCAATATGACTTCATTCTATGAAAGCAAAAATACTCATGAGAACACGGGAACCAACAGTTTGGCAGAAAACGCGTTGAAGACAGGACTGCAGGTAAGTAAAGTGATGGTGGAGGTGATGAAGATCTTTGACCGACAACAAAATGCACCAATCACTATCAACGGGAGAAATTTGAAAGATGGTACTTCCTTCATTTTTGTAGGAAGCATCATTTCAACTAAAAGCGGTCGGCACAGGTAAGAACACCAAAACCAGGCAAATATTCTTCACTCTGAAATCATTTTGGAGATCTGCTGCACTCAAGAATAAAGATTAAGATTGGTATTCGTAACATTAACACCTAGTAAGTTCTTCTGTATGGGTCAGAAATCTGGCACGCCACGGAAAGCATTTCCAATAGGCCATTGCAGACGTTTACTAATATATGTCTTTGCCAGCTGCATTGCCAGGAAGAATTAGCAACAAGAAACTCTGGGAACGAACCAGTTATGAATCTACAGCTCGAGAAATATGCTGGAGAAAATTGAGTTAAATCGGACAGACGCCGAGGAAACTGTTGAAGAAGATCAACCACCATAACTTCGAGTGGATCCTAAGTGGGAAACGACGAGTTAGTTGTGATTACGAGTGTGACGTGGTGAAGATCATATGAGGAGAAGATTATATCTTGTGGACAACCGAGGATCCAGCCAATGGAGATTACAGTGAACTAGGGAGAAGTGAAGGTGTACTGCTGGAGCTATATGTTCCACTTGGAAGTTAGGGGAATAATAATAGTAATAACAGATTACTCAATTGTTTTTGTACATGTGTTGAAATGTATTCTTATTTTATTCTTGTTTTTTCAACTTATTTAACTACTTCTAATAATCCAGCATGTGTTCCAGCTCTTTCTTGCCTACAGCTTTTCAGCAGCTTGATGTTTAGTATATTTTGACTTCAGTGAATTGAATCCATTTTGATACAATTTAGACTGCAAGCAGCTGAAAAATACCCACCAAGTTAAAATGAAAATAGGAGCTCATATTATCCTTCTGCACATTTGTACCTGCTTCATCTGTTTCATCACAGTTCCCCAACAGCTCAGATGTAACACCGGCTTTGAATCTCTGAGAGACATCAGTTCTTTCGAGTTTGTAGATATGGATTTCTGATGAGGGCCTTGCCCAGTATGACAACCGATAGTAAGTCTAATCAAAAGGGGAAGTTGCGAATGAGGCTGTCAACGGCCCCCTGTCATGAAAAAAACAACGCCACCACTGAAAACTGAAGACGTATGTTCCATTAGAAACACAAGGAATCCGATGTAAGCAGATTAATCTGTTGCTTTTCAGAATCGTATTATTTAAGAATAGGCTAAAAATAGCTTCAATATTTCTGATCAGTGTATTATTTGTCTACGTCAGAGAGGGATAAGACAAAATAAAATCTAAGCAATACCGAAGGGAAACAGGTTCTAATTTCCTCACAACTAAACAACGGATATTAACCAATGATGTTTTACATGTTAGCACCTTTATATAGCTGCAAATTAAGGTTATTCAGAAGTAAATCAGTAGAGCTGAACTGAATGACTGAACAGCAGTACTGTTTCATGATTTCAAAACCCATGAGACAATTGCTTCAGATCAATCAGGCACTACCATACTAAGACTGTACTGTATATTAAAGATCACCATGTGGTAAGTCAGAATATTTTTGCTATGGTTATGTTCTCTAAGCTTGATGGTTCAACTGTGAAGCTTGCATAATGCTTCTAGATAACATACTCAGCACATAAATTAGTGTGCACAAGGGACTGTATAATTTTTCAAGAGTGATATTTTATAACCTCCCCGTTCTCTAGGACGGAGAGGCAGCATACCTGGCTTGCTGACCGTTTGACGAAAACACTTTGCTGATGTTACACCCCTACTAGCCATCAGTACGACATTACTCTTAGATACTCGAACATAGTGCAAACATTTAGTCTAACTAGCATATAATCGATCGATCTAGCATGATGGGATCAACAAGAACATTCATCTCAGCCAGTACAACTACTTGGGTCATGGTAATATGTAAGCTTGACTATTATTTCTAAATAGCAGCTATCAGTTAGTATTATTCTTATGAGCTCACACTAGAACTTAGTGCTTCGATTGTACATCTGCATTTCACTCTGTTCTCTATATTCTTCTTTTAAATTACTCATCGATTGCCCTCACATGACCTCCTCAGTGTGACCCTTGTTATCACACCCAACCCACCGCATCCTATCCGGGTTACCCTCGATAACCATCCCAAAGACAATTCCAGTTAGAGGTACCTTTGTGATGTCATGTAATCGCAGCCATTCATTTGAAAAATTATACAAAAATCAATACCAATGATATATATTAGAAAAACAAAATATATTCCTCCTTATCCACAACATACCTGTCTGATTCTGCGGAAAACATCTTGACTAACATTTGCAAAAATATTCAATTCTGGATGATTCAATATACTGAAGGCTACAGCACAATGATGATTTTCAAGCGGTGATATATCATTATATCGGATAGCCAATTCAGTTCTTGCATTGATCTGATAACTGTGTTAAAAGAATGAATATATGAATTATTAGCAATGCTCACTTGATTATTGACTATCATATGAATAACTCTATCTTTCAATCATTCCCAACAATAAAGAGTATGAATGATTGAAGAGATTAGGGACATTGTTCATTGTGTGGTTAAAAGGCAATTAAAGTACATGGACCCACTTTCGTCTATTGCTCTCTTCTTCATTCCTTAGCATTCCAAGTGGAAGGTAGGGTTTCAGCCTGAGCTTTGAAGTTTCAGCAGCAGTGGTGTTATTTTACTGAGTGCGGTCCTTAGCCTCATGTCCAACCTTCCCTCTTTGCAGGGCTTGCTACCACCTTGGAAAGGTCTAGGAGTTCATCGACCGGAAATTAAACCCCAAACCATGAGCTGAGCCATCAACGCACAGGTCACTACCCAAAATCAGCCTATATGTCTGTCTTTGTCTGAGGTAGCCTCACCACTGGTTAAAAACGTGCTCTACTGCAACTGTGATGGGAAAATTTGATCGGGCAGGTATTGTGGAAATATTGCACTACTCATAGTAATCGTGTTCATACAGTGATGATCTCACTAGCTATTGGGTAGCATAACTCCATGGTCTACGAGCTCACCTTGTAACCAGGAGGTCCTGGATTCGAAACCCGGTGGGTGAGTACTGCTGAAGAATCCCAAACTAGGATGAAACAGCTAGATGTCCAGTACTCCCTGCAGGTTTTCCGATGGTTCTCTAACTAATGTCAGCTCATGATGAAATTCTCCCTGTAATATTAATTAGAGAACCATTAAAAACCAAAAAGTACTGGATAGATGCTTTCGTCTGATTTGAGAATTCTCAACCCTACTCAACCATGATCTGAGGAAGGATTGAATCGACAACCTTGAGGTTATCATTCTAGTCGCATGCTGATGAAAAAAACTCTCCAGGGGTTCTTAGACCTCAGTAGTTCTATAACTAATGCCAGTTCGTGATAAGATCTATCTTGAAATCATTCAAATTCACAAAAACCAACAATTCATTCTTTACTTTTGTCGAATAAGGGGATGATCAGATTGCTTCTCTCCTGCATAGAATTCATTCACTTCTATATGCCGATAAATAAAATGCCCTTATGAAGAATATTGAAATGGTATTTTCGTAAAGTTCTCAACTTATATCAGAATATAAAGTCTTTGTGTTGGCCAGGTCCCAGTGTCCGAATGGTTTACTGTGAGCAACCTGCTTAAAACTTGGGTTACTAAAAGCTTCCATTATTATAATTGCATATAATTTCTCTTGTTCAGTTTGTTTTAATCCACTACAACTTGATCCTTAGTGGTAGTATTCACTCTTTCCAGGATTCAAAATGTTTACAAACTGCTGATTTGCTAGTTTCAACTAAACTTGAGAAAAAGTATAATTGTGATCGGTAACGTATCTGAATAAACTGGATAACTGCTCCTTTATCCTTGGGTCTTAAAATGTACTCCTGAACTTTTTCTAATTGGCTTTCGACCAAACGTCGTGTATTTCTGGATGGAGATAACGAATAAATGTCATGATGAATTGGTTTGCGCTTCAGATGAAACAGCATAGGGTCAGACAATCTATTGTCAGTTTGTTTTTTTGTTTGAAGATTCTGGACGGAGAGTAAATATGATAGAGTGCACTCCTCTGGAAATTATGTACATTATATAAACACTGTCCAGAATAAAGCTATTATAATTATTATAACTCGAAGCTCTTGGGTTCGAACACCAATGGGCGCGTGCCAGTGAAGAGTCTCAAACTAGGACGAAACAGCTATCCAATACTTCATGGTCTTCCAAGGGTTCTCTTAGTGATATCAGCTTGTCATCAAACCTGTAACATACAATCATTCAATGGAAACCATTCCGATAAAAACTCAGCAAACGAACGACAGGACAATCATTTAGACTGAGTGTTGTGGTTTTCAGCTTCTCTTTAATTAATGGCTTCAACCATACTCTCTGTAACTCATGAATCAAACAAATATAATGCTAGGTTCAAAAGACGGTTTATTAAATTATGTTGTTCCCTTGGGTCCCAAGCGGAGCATAGCGCTTCAGAAGCCCATCGCTATTTGACTATGTACACCGCAATCTTTTCAATTAAATCCACGACCGCCAATGAGCCTGCATTTCCTCTTATTCAAACGATTCCTCCCGAGTCTCACTTGGACACACGCCTGACTCGTCGTTTCCGATTCCGGTTTCAATCAGGACCCTGGTGCACGATATCATTTAACAGTCTCATCAGCGCATGTTCAATCCATCACCACATATGCTGATTGGTTGATTCGCTGCTACAGTTCCCTGTTGCTGATACTTTCTGGTCTTCAGTAGTGAGCAAAGGCAGACATTGATGAATGCATGCAGTCTTTTTGAAACGCTCTTCATGACGTTTGCACCAGCTCTAAGATCCACATAGAATCACTGACTGACTTTGCAGTACTGTTCAAAATCTAGATCTCGTTCCTTATGCTGAGAAGTATGTTTTGATTTCTTCACTAAACCACAAAATTCTTGTTTCATAGGTTTATGTTAATTATTCTACTACAATCATCCTAGAATGAGTTTGATCACAAGATGACATCAATCTCAGAATCACTGAAAAAGCAGGGAGTACTGGACACCTAGCTCGCTCTAGATTAAGACTCTTCAGCAGTACTCACACACCGAAGTTCAAACAGAGGACCCTCAAGTTTTACAAGGCGAGTTCACAGACCATTCAACAATTCGGAACAAATCCGATGATCTGTGATTTCCACCTTAGAAAAAGAGAAAATGGTTGATATTCACTGTGTGTCAATTTTATTCAAGAATATTCATATTCGTATCATCTCTTATGATAATCTGATTAAAATTTCCCACTCTGAGATTGTCAAACATGATCATTATACGGGGAAGACTTCATTCCTACCTGATATCTCTCAATACCATGGTGAGCGATATGAAAACAGCTGCAGCTTATGACTATGCACATTATTATGAGACCAGTGGTTCAGTAATGCAATCCTCGCCAGCCGCGCATGAGGTCTGCGTTAGATTCCCTACTAACTCATCCCTGAAGACCGTCTAATTAGCTAGACTGTAAAAAGTCCAGGAAATAGGAAGGCTGGGGTGTGATTTCGGCTAGCCTACCCTGTGAAAGCGGCACCATTACTGGTAAAACTTCAAAGTCTGCAGCACTGAAGTCCCATGTTCTTCTCGGAACGCGAAGAAATTCAGCAAAACACTAAATCATTTCAAAGAAAGACGATTGGTATTCCTCCAGTTCTCTGGAAGATTATTCATTTTCTAGATTATCCAGTTACTAAGTAACCCGTCATATTAAAATAAAGTACTACCAGCTAGAAATGGAACTGAAAACAGTAAACATTAGAAATGAGGGAAGCTAATGTCTAGGATCATCATCAATTAATGATTCTCAAAGGATGCTTAAATCCCAACCTCAGTGTGATACTGTATAATAATTTTAGAGATTAATCACTGATGTGACACTCTGATGAATAAAATTCTATCCGGAAAAAAAGGAAACATAACTCATGACCAGTGAGGTTAAATTAGATGTCACGTGTGTGGATGGATGTCCCACCAACGACAATGGCCGGGGTCGCGCTAAATCACGAATTGGTAGAAGTTAGAATTCGAGAGCCATTGAATCGGGTCCCAGTGGCTGAATGGTATACGAGCTTTCCTAGTAACCGGAAGGTCCTGGGTTCGAATCCCAATGGGTGCGTACTTCCGATGATGAAACAGCTGTCCAGTACTCCCTGGTTTTCAATGGTTCTCTAACTTATATCAATCGATGATCAACTCGTAAAAAATATAAGGATGCTATAAACCTTGGTATTTATTATTGGATCATATAAATACTCGGAAACTATTCGTACCGAACAGTAGTGTTTGCTAGCCAGATAACAGAAGTGATGTAAATACCAGACGGACATTTAATCGTTTATTCCACTGCGTCGGTGGCACAGTGGTTAGGACTCTCGCCGACCATGCACATGGTCCGGGGTACGAGTCTTCGCCGACGCACACTTGATATCTATGGTCGGCCTGCAAAATTTGGGCTACCGATATCCACGCTGAAAACTCCATACTTCTACCAAAAGTACAGTGTGGGGGTCAAGCTGTAATCAAAAAAATATAAAAAAAGATTCACGCATATACAACAGCCGATTCATTTGTAACAACCTGAACTTCAGTTAACTAGCTGCGTAAACTGATAATACGATGAATCAAATTCATCATCTTCAAATTACACATTTCGAGGTGACACTTCATCATATGTTTTCAGGAGAAACCAAAATATTTAGTCTGCCTGCTACTATAAATGACAATCAACAACGCATGTATATTTGCATGAGGGTACATACTACTAACTGATCGATATAAGTAGTCGAAATAAACTCATACCTAGTAGTAGTGCCTTTACAAGTCTTCAACTACTGAGTTTCGGTTATACTTAATTACTGATTTAAAGTGTGTGTGTGAAGAAGGCGGACACCAATCGACTGGATCATTATACCAAAGCCACCATATGTATGTGAAAAATTATTCCTAATTTTGCGCAATCATTTTGCAGCAATTTGATTGATTTTAAGTGCAGTGACAAAATGATTTCAACTAAAGAACCATCGAAATCCAGCCTTTTCCTCCCGGTTTGGGACTAAACGGCAGTACGCACTATTGATTCTAATAGAGATTGACCCCAAGACCTTCAGGTTACAAGGCGAACCCGTTCACACTCAACCATCACGACGGATTTCCATAACCCATCAGTGCTAACTTCTTTCTACTACGGATAATTAGTACGTCTCCTAGTCACTATCCCCAGTGAGTACTTGTCCCAACACTCGATGACTTCATGAACCTTGTTAGTGACGACTCCTTAGTAGAAATTCAATAAACTTTATCCTGTAATGAAAGTCACTTGTGAGCACCAGACTAATTTTTGAGTGATAAACTGATAAACATGACTAACCGAGGACAACAGGACAGATGTTTTGCTCAAACTGTTTCTGTTTATTTTTTTGGTTAAATTGTTGATGTTTATTTGTTTACTATACAATTGACTGTCTGACTAGTATAAAAAGATATACCGAAATAGTCAGTGTTTATTCACATAAAACATCACTTCTTTGCTGCATGAACAATATATCCAGTATTCTTAATGAATATAATTAAATTTCTAAATAAGGAATTTGATAGGAAATGAAATTTCACAGCAGTTTAAGTTATCCTTAAACATATAATTACAAACTATCAAAACAATATATATATGCATAGGCTTTATTTTTGGTTACTGGATAATGGGAAACCCTTGAATATTTACCGGTTCTCAACACATAAGAGATAGTTAGTATGTCATCGAACATGATTAGTGCTCATGCTTCCCCAGGGTTCACTGAGTTGAACCATCCTAGATGTATAGTTGGTGAATTCAGTATCAATAAGTCAACCATCCAGGTAGAAATACTGAAGTCACTGTTTTGAAATAATAGGAAAGATCTACGGCTCAGATGGACTTTTATCAAGAGTCAATCTGAACGAAGAATAATCTTTTCAATAATTTCTCCTCTTCAGGTTCTTACAATTATAAAATATAAAACTTGTGGTCGTTACAATAATGGCCAGTTATGCGGCGGATACATTTCTAACGTAGAATAACAGATTAGTTATGGGGTGTCAAAATAAACTTTGTATCCAAAAAGAACACGTCTAGACGCTGTTCCTACCGTGGCCAACTTTGGACAGAAGGTTTTTCTGCTCACCAAGAGTGCTCCTTCCCCTTAACCCTCTTGTTTTTTTTTCTTTTTTTACTTTGCTTATTATTATAAATATTATTATTATTACAGTTATTATTATTATTCGTCATAATTTATGCCCTTTATGTAAACATTCCCTCAATACTAACGAATTTTCATTTGTACGGACTTATTATTAGTGATATTATCTCTTTTCTCAATATATGCCTCCACCTGTTTCATTTAACATATTCGTTATCTTATTATGAACCTCTCACTGCAGTCTTACTATATCCTGTTTAACACAGACCACTTTGTACTAGCCACTCACCTGACACCTTTTATAACCTTGAACTGATTTGTCAATTTTCCTACCCCACACTACAATTCTATTATGATTAATCACCACCATTGTCTGCCGTTTTACAATATTTTCTAATCGATTTCAGCCTAGCACGTTTGTCATACAAATATGACTATTTATTTTGACACCCCATAACTAATCTGTTATTCCACGTTAAAAATGTATCCGCCGCATAACTGGCCTTTATTGTAACGACCACAAGTTTTATATTTTATAATTGTAAGAACCTGAAGAGGAGAAATTATTGAAAAGAATATTCTTCGTTCAGATTGACTTTTAATTCATAATATGGGAATATTTCACACTATTAAATTTTATCAAGAGGTTATAATATTCTCTAAGCTGGCAGTTCTAACTGAGATGTTTTCATGTAATCTTCCTAAAAAACAATGAAGTCAGTATCTGTAATTTACGAAGATATGAATAACAGTGAATATTGATATTTTTCACTGGTCTGCAAATCTTCATTCTCGATGGTCACATTTTTTGATATGAGACAAATACATGTCGAGAGCTTTAGTGTTCACTAAGTTAGACGGTTCAGTCATGAAACATGATTGACTAAGATGAGTAGTTAAACACCACTCACATAAACTAGTAGTGCTTGCTACCAATACCATCGAGGTGGTCTAAACGCCGGACGGCCGTCTAACTCGTTTGGGACTGACTTGATTAAGAGTATACCTCAGAGAGACGAATCAGTCCAAAACATCTGAATACTGAATAGCTATTTGGCCGAACTGGTAACACCTTAAATCGAATTATCAATTTGCAAACTGATTTTTAAAAATTCTTTTTCGTCCCGATTGGAATATAATGATTCAGGCTGGAGTGTTGAAGTTTCTACTACGGTGATATGCCCAACCTTCCCTCTTCACCGTATCTGCTACTGATCAGAAGAGGGTTAGGAGTGCGTCGGCTCAGGGTCGTACCCCAGACCTTGTGTGGTTGGCGAGCATTCTACCGCTGCACCACCGACACCATTTGCGAACTAATTAGCTACTTGCAATTTACATGGTTCGAGAAGGTGAAAATTCTTGTGATTTGTATACGACTATTCAAATCAGTCCATCTGTAGCATATCGTTTGATCTAAGATTCAATGATGAAATTTCATTGTCATCCCAGATATGATAACGAGTAAGTAATTAGGAAACTTAGAAGTATGAAGAAGCAACTCAGTTTATAATGTTTTCTGTTCGACGCCGACATGACGTGATATTTCACTGCAAGACTATTTCGCTTAGTTTACTAACCGGGCTAAATACAGGAAAACAGGGGAGATTAGGCACTGCCACACTTTAGAAAACAATCATATAGCTACTGAACCTTCAAAGAACAGAAAATATATAAAATATAAAGTCATTCTTAACTGGAATCGGGAACACTCGTCGATTTAAGGATGGATGATACCGGCTGGCGAAAGCTTTAGGGCTACTAAAGCTTCTTTCAATGAAAACAAAAGTAAAGCTAGTCACATGGGATTCTCCAACTATTTCTAAAGTCACCTGGGCTGCTTAAATTGCAAAAGTAATGAGAGAATACGGCATAGAAGTATTAGAAATCTATAATAATAATAATAATTGCTTTATTCCAAAAACAGTACTCATGATACAGCAAGGAATTTTCAGCATTCAGTACAATATTGCATCTAATTTACCCAAAAACGACAACAACAAAAAATTTAAAAATACACAATACCTAATAGTAATAAAACGATTGTTGTAGCAGCTACGTAGCAAAAATATGAGACCAAGTGGAATAGAAACTGACTCTTGAAATTGTCAAATGGAGGCTCAGTAATATACTTCAGTTACCTGGATGACGCCTATGAGCACACTGAGGATTTAGCTCGAAACATAACCTAAGTGAAGTTCAATACTTAAAAACTGAAGGATGGAAGACACCTTAATAGTACTCATCAGGTTGAGGACATTGAGTAACATCACTGAGGAAACCTGGATGGATAACATATCAGTTAATTGTATGTATGTGTGCATGCATTTTAGCCGTTATAGAGTGGATTAGATCACATTTTTATCTAAAATTTTCTGAGTTCCTCAAAGAAACAGTAACAGCAGATTGAAGGTGAGACAGTAACTCATCGAAGAAGACGTGGCGAAGTGGTCGTGCTGTGTCATGAATTAGCAGAAGTTAGAATTAATGGGTTGGCCATTGGATTGGGCCATGTCCCAGTGACTTAATGGTCTACGAGCTCGCCAGCCTTGTGACCAGAAGGTCCTGGTTTCAAACCCTGGCTGTGGACGCGTACTGCTGAAGAGTCCCCGACTAGGCTGGCGAAACAGCTGTCCAGTACTCCAGTGCTGGTTTTCCAATGGTTCTCTAACTGATGTCAGTTCCTGATGAAATCCTCCAACCAATGAAACAGTAACACTCAAATAAATGACTATGACCAAAAAAAGCTCAACTGACAAGAATATTTCATCAAAACTGAAGTAATCTGAAATCAGATCATGAAAGTTAAAATTCACAGGACGTTGAATTCCATTCCAACAGCTAAATGGTCAACAAGCTAGCCGCATAACTCGGAAGTTCTGGAATCATAGGTGCATTCTGATGAACAGAAAACAGAAAAAAATAGTAAGAAACAAAGAAAGGAAATATGTCTAACTTACGAATTACTATATCCAGGATGATCTAAATCATGACATACAGCTGCTGTCAATAGGATGCCAAGTTCTTCACGTGAAAAATCATTATTCAATCCACACAGATATAATATACCATACATCATTTGGGCAACACAAAAACAATGTCGAAAATTATGAAACGGATTATTTCGATAATTCGCCTGTATACACAACTATGATAAAGAGAAGTGAAGAGATGAAATAAGAAAAATTGAATGATAAAATCAATATTTAAAAAACACAAATGGGATACATACACAAAGAGGAACAAGTATTTTAATTTTATTTTTGATTACAGCTTGATTCCACACCGTATTTTTTGGTAAAGGTATGGAATTTTCAGCATGTGACATCGATAGCCCAAATTTTACAGGCTGACCATAGATATCAGGTGTGCGTTGGCAGGTGGTAGAACCCGGACCGTATGCATGGTCGGCGAGACTCTTAAACACTGTGCCACCGACGCACAGTACAATTATGGAAGCCTGCTTGGACTTCCCATCAAACCACAAACTGTTTCGATTTCGAAAACTATAGAGAAACATCTCTTTCAATGAATTCAGACAATTTCTGCTTAGAAATGCAGCTGAGACACTTTAGATGCTGTCACTGAATTCCATCATAATAAAGGAACAAAGTTCATTCAATCCTCTATTTTAAACCAAAATGCCGCATCTGGTTTTACTTCCGGGTCATTTTTACTAAGCAAGCTGACTTTAGCACATAATGAGTTACAATGTCACAAAGTAACTATCTCTCTGTTTCCCAGGTTGGGCAATAATATGCGGTATTCATTGAGAAATGCTCCATTTCTATACTTACAAAAGCTGGTGTGCCTCAAGGTGCTACACTTTCTATATTTAGTGAAGTTAAACAATAGCGTCCCGAGGGTGAGAACTCTCCAAAGACCTTGAACGCACGATGGTCATTGGCTAAAGACACCTGCCATTAATCTAGTGCAAAAATGAACGCTGTCCAGTAATTGAAGTGCAAATTTCACCCGAAACACGTTTTTAAATACTCTCTGGATAATAGATTGATAGGACGTAGTTGCAGATGTAGATGTGGTGCTTCAATGAACCTGCGACCCTATTCACAAGTTATTGATGAATGCGAATTTAGACGCACGAAATGTAGGAAACGAAAGAGTAATCGTACTGGTAAATGACACGCTCAGTTCATTGTCCTCTGGGAACTTTCTTAACAAAATCGAAACTTAATTTGACGAATATACTGTACCATTAGAGGATATTGAAGTTCGGAGTGAGGTCAACAGCCGCTCAGACAGAAAATAGCTTGATATCAACTGTGCAGTGGTTTCAGTTTTGTTGAGATCTAGCCTCTTGGAAATTGAATCATGTTACACAAGCATTTGGAGGAGTTGGTGTTGTCGTTCACATACACCTAAACAGTGCCAATAAAGAAGAAACACAATCCTGGTCGCGCTAGAGCTAACAGTGTTTGGGTACTGGGAATTTATGACAACTGAATTCACAAGAGGATAATGGAAGTTATTCAAGACCGCAGTACCGACACTCTTCTCCCTATTATTCAAAGACTCGTTATGCCTGGTACCACTACCCACACCGACGATTGGGCGGGAGGATTTAACCGCTTATCGGATTTGGGATATATACACAATCGAGTTAACCATTCAGATAATTCTGTCGACCCCACAACTGGTATTCATGCTAATTCAATAGACGGCTTCTAGGGGAGATTGTAAAATAGGATAAGAGCAATAAACGGCTCTCAAAATCAACTTTTTTTAGTCACCTCGATGAATATATGTATAGACACTGTTTTAATTTAAAAACTGATACTCCCTATTATAAGCTATATCAAAGAAAAATACCCTATTTAATGTGTTTTCATGCATTTTCTTGTAAATAAGAGTCATTTTTGTGCAAACATCCCTCATTTCTTATGATTGGCTAGCCGAAGGTCACTCATGCGTTCTCATCCCTTGGGACGCTCTTGTTTAACTTTACCGTGTATTTCTATTTTACTTCTTTTTTCATGACTTACCGTATTCTTCTAAAGTTAATTTCATTAAATGTTCTGTTGTTTTGACAGTTTCTGCCCTAGTTATTTCTGCATTGGGCTAATCTGATATAAATAGTTTCTTATCTGAGATTACCCAGTGGTCTTACTCGAATGGTTTTGAACTAAATCTCTCCAAATGTCAAGCTGCTCGTGCTAGTTTTTGATGTGAACAAGATCTTTGTGGACTCATTCAGTCTCGTGATTCTTCCAACGTCTGTACAGTACTGTGATAGGAAATAAATCAAATATCATCTGTCTTGATGTCAGTTTCTCTTCAAACATATCAATGAAAAATCTATCAATTGACTTATTACATATGGAAGTCGGGACTTCCTGGCATAACTCAATCTCTCCTCTTACAGTTTATTAATACATGGATTCTACCCATTCTTCTGTATTATTCCAACTAACTGTTCTCTGGAAATCTCAAAAATGACCACGTTATATTACGAAAGACTCTTAAGCCTGTAAGTAAGCAGGGTTAGTGATGTGTGTATGCCTTTGACTCAACCAATTGACATTGTTGTTGGCAGGTGTTTTAATTCTTGCAAACAGTTACCTAAAGTCATCTTGTCTGGTCCTGAACACCAGAACACATCAACTCAGGTAAGACCAGAGGAAATTTCGAGAGAATTTATTCAACCGTACCATATTTACTTGGGGTGTTGTGTGAAGAGAGAGACAGTGTTGTCAGAATAGAGCTAATAAACCTGCTCTACCTGTAATCTGTAAATAAACAGCAAATTATGACCAGAACTATTACTACACATGCTTTTTTATTCCTGTACACTCCCAGTGGAATATGGGACTTCAAGCTAGAGGCTTGAAGTTTCGGTAGCAGTGGTGTTTATTTTTATGGGATAGGGCTGCTAACCTCTTGCCCAGCCTTCCCTGTTTACCAGTCTTATTATTGGGTTAGCTAGGTAAAGGAGTATGTCAGCCGGGGATCGAACCTCGGACCACATGAGGCGTGGTTGGCGAGCATTCTATCTCTGCGCCACTGATGCACTATTTTATGTGTATAAAAGGAGATGGATTGTTGCAGTATGTTCAAACGCTGAATACTCGATTCTGCCTAGAAAAACAAACTATGGCTTAGAATAAAGTGATTATAATAGTAATTACTATTATGGCTATTAATTTTTTGGAAACAAGCTAAAAGACTAATATGCTAAATAAATATATACGTATAAAATTATCTTTGTCATGTTAGCTGAAATCAGGCGCCATTTTTCAAATATTGAAATTTTTAAACAATGTTCAATGTTCCTTGAACATTGAAGCATTCACCATGCTTTTTCTACTTATATGATGATTGTTTCGTACTAAACTTCCCCCCCCCTCCAATTTTATTGTTATAACATTTTCTTTTTTCCTGGGAAAATTTTAAATTACGTCATAGAAAACAATTCACAGATATATTAACAGTGATAATAACTTCGAACAGGGTGTTGTTTATCATGATTATGAAAAGTTTATTGTTACCTTCTGTTTTTGGAGGGTGATTCTTTCATTACGTTATGAAATAAACGCGTGATAAGCACTGACCAGACACTAAGGAGTAGTCATTTTCATGTATTTAGTGATTTTCTTGTTGACGCTAACGGAATTCTACCAGTTAAATTTGTAACGTGGTCACCAAGCTAAATGATTCGCAAATTCAATGTACCTCAAATTGATGTTAGATGGTTGGAGGTGGTTGATAAAAGGCCCTGAATTTAGATTTATTGCTCTTTGGCACTCGTTAGGAGTGCATTGATGGTTCTGGGGTGAAATACTCTCCAAAAATGCTCTACATGTTCAAGGTTCGATTCCCGACCGGTGAGCTCTTAAAACCTTGCTTAGCCCGCAGTAAGGGCGGTAAGGAGAGGAGGTTGGGTGTGAGGATAGCAGCCCTATCGTTACTAGAATTTCTAAGGTTACAGTGTGAGACCTTATGTGCTACTTGGAACAAAAAGGAATAAAAGAGAAGCCCTCCTCATTAGTGCTTGCCCCCAATATGCGAGTAACTGATGCCGTCCCGGAGAATCAGACCCGCGTCACTCAATACTACAATCAGGAACGTTACAATTTTGATGCATATATTGATTTGTCACTAGACTGTAACCAATGTTATGTGTGTTAGATTTGGTACTGAGTGAATTTTCCATAATTGTGGGAAGTCGTGACCGGTAGGGTGCAGCAGGTTGAAGGTGTGGTAGCAACTTATCGAAGAAGATATTGCGAAGTGGTCGCGCTATGTCATGAATTGGCAAAAGTTAGAATTCGTGGGCTGGCCATTGGATCGGGCCATGTCCCAGTGGCTTAATGGTCTACGAGCTCGCTAGCCCTATAACCAGAAGGTCGTGGCTTCGAACCCTGGCGGTGAGTGCAAACTGCTGACGAGTCTCAAGCTAGAACGGAACACCTAGCTGTTCAGTACTCCCAGCTCTCTTACTGATATCAGCTCATGATGAAATCCTCAAACCTATTCAATAATAGATGACGAATTGGTTAACACAGTAGGATATAGACTGTAAGCACAGATAAGCAGTGGGAAGTAATCTTAGTGGACGTTAAAAGCAAAACAGCTAACTTGTCTTATTAGCACAAGGGATGAAATTTCGGTTTTGGAATTGACTGTTAATGGGTTCAAATCTTAATAGAAATATCATCACCAACTAAATGTCTTTTCAACTGAGAAAAGTTTAAAATGCGATGAAAAGAACTTCATAGATTTTTTTCCTAACCTTTCTATTTTTAGGCATAAACGCTAAAGTTGAGTATATTTTCTTCAAATAAACAGTTTACTTAGATCAACTCCTGGTTTACAAACAACATGTATTCGAATATGTTATATAATGGTGAAACGTTGGCAGTGTTTTATCTCATAGACTGTGAAAAAAGAATCAATCCAAAGTAGATGAAGATATCAAACACGCCACCTCATTCTAAATAACAGTCGCTCCTATAACACAAAAATTAGAAATTATGTAAATGAATCGGTAATCCAACGTAGAATTGGTTCTTTTACCAGTCACTAATAAAAAGTCTGATTTGATTTGAATTTACTTAAAGTATTCTCGGCATTTATTCGAGTAACTTTGAATTTCCCGTTATTTTTTTTTGTAGTATTTTAACGGCATTG